GTTATCCAATCTTGTCTAAAAAATTCTTCATTCTTAGGTTGTCTCACTGTCTCAAAATTAGGATCGGGGGTTACGATGGGGGACTGGTGGTTGTTAAGCTTGTCTAAAAAATTCTTCGTTCTTAGGTTGTCTCGCTGTCTCAAAATTGGGATCGGGGGTTGCGATGGGGGACTGGTGGTTGTTGGCTTGGTGTCAGTCGGAGGTTGGGTTGAACGGAAGCGGGTTAAGGTGGGTTGGTGCGGTCACAATGAGGAGGCAAGGGGTCGATGATTCAACGGTGAGGGGGACGGATAGACAACAACGATGTCGTGGGGAAGATGGTGGCTTGGGGTGGGAGAGATGGCAAGAGAATTGACAGATGATGAGGATTGAGAATTAAAGTAGCACTTAATTGTTTAATTTAATTAGATGAGGCTTGAGGATTACAGATGCATCTATTTTTTTTTGTTGAATAGCTTTTAATTTTTAATTTAATCATATTTTGAATTTAGTTTTAGTGATTTTAAATTAATTTTTATAAAGTTTTTAATAATTTATTCATGTGGTAATGTTTAATGGGTTCTTTAGATATAGGCCCTTAAAACTCCCATTTTCCAAACAAAAATCCACCTAAATTTAAACATTCAAATAAAACCCAAATTTCAAATAGCCTACCATGTAGACAAATATATGACCAACTATTACAATACATTTACAACTTATGCCACAAAATCCTAATTTACTCATCCTAATTATGATGAGCAATTAAATCCATATGGATATTTTGCCTTTCTTGTATCATAAATATTAGCAACATATGTAAATTAATTTACCAAATTTAAAAAATAAAAAAAAATAAAAAAATAAAAAAAGAAGAAAGATATATCTTGTTCGGAAAAAAATAATATTGTTTGAATCATGTAATTACCTACATACAAATTAATTTACCTACTCATAAAATATTATAGTAATTTACTTGCATTTTGAATCATGTAATTATGACACACCCCGACCAAGATCAGCGTGTGCTGGCCATCACACGGAGGTGACGTAACCATGTGCACGCGCGGAAGCTAATAAAATAGTAATAAAAGTACAAATAATTAAAAACTAACATACAAAGTGATAGAAACAAGTGCTAGCGTAAGTGAGACGCTAAGTTTAGAGCAATAAGTCTACAACAGTCCAAAAGACAAAGATGCGACAACAGTACACCCGAAAGTCACCCTACAATGGTGAGTGTCTGTCAGAAATGCCGGGAAAGCCCTCTGGGAAACCACCGAACCTGCTAGACCACTAGAACCTGGAGGGGCGCAAAACAAAAGCGTGAGTGGGCAAAAACAAAGCTTTCGGAAACTATTTATAAAAATACTTTCTAACCCCTCGCCGTAAAACCTGTATACTTCCCAGAAAATAAATATACGCATATTACATATGCCAAACATGCTCAAATATATGTCATGTGTTCAATAATATGCCATGTTGAAACCTTATAATGATATGCAAGTGCTCAGGTATAATCATATCAATAACATGTAATCTGGCAGCCGGAGTCACCTAACGTGACCTGTACGGCTGCATCTAGAGCTCAAATCTCAAACTCAATAACTGAACCTGCCCACGAGTCGGAACCACCTAAAGTGGTCTGTACGACAGGCCTGGGTGTAATACATATATATGCTCTAGTGCTACGATCACGTGAAGGCTGTGCGAATAATCGTGGGTCACCTACGAGTCGGAACCACCTAAAGTGGTCTGTATGACAGGACTGTGCACCTAACTTGGATCCAAGCTGAGCGTGTGGTGCGGGAGGTGAACATCACGTGAAGGACTGTGCCCTAGTCTGGGCGGGAGCACTAACACCGGGGGTGCAGGTTATGAGCTCTCTAAGCATCTCGCATCGCTACTGAATGTAAACATGAATAACACTTACCTGGCACTTACATGTGCGTCCACAGCACCCAATATGCATATGTATATATATATGCAACTAATAATGTACTCACAATGCACGACCAACGATAATGTAATGCATGGCATATAACTAATAAACATTTAAATCAATTCTGGGAAAATATAGTATATAGGTATATACGGAAAACCAAAAGCCCACTCACTGGTATGTGGAAGGGTCGTAGCCCCCCTGCCTCGAGTGACCACGCTCGTCCTCGGGATACGTATCACCTATATGCGAAATAACTATAAAAACGTTAATTTTAAAGCACATAACCAACTTCTCGTAATAACTTCTCATACATTGCTCAAATTGGACAATTGAATATACCAACGTGCTCTACACAACCTCAGGATCACACCCAAATTTTTAGAAAAAATTTCCACCGCCGCACACGCCCCCACGCGCCGGCCATGCGCAGGCACGTGCCTGGCACGCTGACGGCGTCAATTGACGCCGTTAGGAATATTCCGTCAGTTTTGACAGATTTCGTTAACGGCGTCAGGAATATTCCGTCAGACTTGACGGAATATTCCGTCTCCTTCTCCGGCGACGTCGCCGGCGCCGGAAACTGGAAAAACCTTCAAACCGTGTTTTCTCTCACGTTTCTCAACCATTTTTCATGATTTTTGAACCAAAATGAAGCCCTAGACTAGTAGAACACGTCCATACAATTTTTAAGGGCTAAAAACTACTAAATCATACCTGTCACCAAGCTTAAAATCCGGCCAACTTCAAAAACTACGATTCCGACGTCCAAATTCGTCCAACGAGCTACTCCGAGGCTCCTGGAGACTCCACCAAGCTAGCTATGAGCCTCAAAATCCCAAAAACTTACTAAAATACATTTGCATGAATAGTACTCAAATCGGACCACTTCGAATCGACGTGAAAACGTTAGAGTTCTCACCTGAAAATGATATGGTTGCACTCGCACGAGCCTCACGAGCTCGAAAATGTACTTGGTTCCTTTGATCTGTGAAGGTTTGAGTGAGTTGTGTGTGTGTCCGTACGTTTATGGGGAATGGGAAGGGAAAGAGAGCACGGGAGAGAGACAGGGAGAAAGACAGAGAGACAGTGAGAGTGAGAGGGTGTGTGTGTGGCCCAACACATGCCAACACAACCCAAAACAGCCACTAAGCGTAAACGAAACGAACTAGGGGTAAAAATGTCATTTCACATGCACGTTTTAGATAATTTCGGGACGGGATGTCACAAATTACCTACATACACATGTTATACTAATTTACCTTCATTTAAATTAATTTATCTACTTATAAAATATTATACTAATTTACCTACATTTAAATTAATTTACCTACTTATTAATATTATACTAATTTACCTGCATTTAAATTAATTTACCTATTCCAAAAAAAAAAAAAATAGTGATATTAGATAATGTTCGAATGTTGTGGGTTTGTGCTTGTAGGCAATTAAATAAACTTTTAATCTAATGCACATAAATCATGTAGGTAAATTAGACCCTTTAAATTTTGGTTTGATGGAATAGGTATATTAGACTATTTTGTAGGTAAAAATTGTGTGGAACATATAGCTTTTGTTTGTGTAATAGGGATTGGAGTATTAGCCGTTTATTGTTGTGTTGGTAGGTAAATTAATTTATATATTTAATGCACAAAATTATGAAATTAGTATTATTATTTTTCAATTGGCACGTTATAACAATTTGAAAGTTAATACATTGAATACACAATGAATGGCATGAATTATTTTGTAAAATATATAAAATTAATTAAATGGATATAACAAGTAACTGATCTAAAAACCCTATCAAAGTATTAATTGGGGTAGTTTAGGCATTCAGAAAATACACAATCTGAAAAGTCAAACTTAATTAAAGAATTTATTTAGTTGGAGGCTAGTCAATATGCTTTATTCAAGAAAACAAAGGGAGACGGGTTTCCAGGGGTAATATCAAATTTTCAGAATATTTAATAGACTTATGGGTTCATATATGTGTCAAATCAGATCAGCATACTAACATAAATTTTGACAGAATTCTAACGAGAGGACAACATTGATTTGCAACAATCATGTTCAAAAATTATATTGATTGATTTTTATTTTCAAGAACCATCTTGATAATTTACGTCAATTTCAAAAACTACTTGCGATAAAAAAAACCCAACAAAATATGTATTTTCGTACTGTCAACTTTTGATGTCTTACATAGCAAAGTTTGTTTGTCAAAAGTCAAAAGGAGTGTCGAGTTTTTTAAGTCAATCAGAAAGTAATGTAAACTTGTCTTTGTAAGCTTTAGTTTTCCTTTTAGTTGAACGTTGACACAACGACATGTTGTTTTGCTTATTGTTCTAAAAATTCTTACCTAGCGCCGTCTGGGTTTCGTCTAAGCGCTAGGCGGCTGGTCACCGTTCCGATTAATACCTAGACGTTTGAAAATTAAGAAAATGTCCAAGCCCTACTGAGGCGCCCACCTAGACCACCTAGGCACCCGCCTATACTAGCCTAGGCATTGACTCACTTAGGCAGAAAATAGATAACTTTCATTTTACATTTTTTTTCAATAAATTGTAAGAGACTTGTCGAATACTTAAATGAGCACACATTATATGTTTGTTCCTCATGTTTTCATTATGTTCCAATACTTCATAATATATGTGTCATTCTATTTTGTAGTTTATAATGAAATTATATATATTTTATATATAAACATACACTTATTTACATGAAATATAATGAATTTAGTTAAATTCACCTAGTTCGCCTAAACCCCGCCTAATCGCCTAGGCGCTAGGTCCCAACTTACCGCTCGACTAGCGTCTAGCGTCTTTTAAAACTTTGATTCTGCTAAATTTTGTATTGCTTTTCTGTCACGTTTGTAATTGAGAAATTGCATTCTCGAGAGACGGAAGTGATAACAGTACCTATGAGACTGGACTTTTAAAAACTTGATCACGAACCACTGAACGTGGTTTCTTTGCAGCACCGGTATTATCAATAGGGGTGATGTACGCGAAATTCTATAAATACTAAAACTCAGTGCAATAGTTTTGCAGTAAAATGACTGAATTGCCTCGGTCTTTTGCATTCCTCTTCGTTGTTTTTTTTCAGTCTCAACAGTAAAATGATTAATTTGGCCACGTGTTGGCCATCTGTTATTCCATTCTTCAGCTGTCGTTGGCTCCTTTTGACAACGAGTACCGCCGACCACTGCTGTGTTTACCCTCTCTCTTCCTTCCTCTTACTCAATCCACTACTGCTTTGCTTCATATGTTGTTCTGTCAACCAAAAAGCCAGAGCCTGTTTCTCGAACTCTCTCCTATTGTGGAACCACCGCCATCATCGGGTGCGGCAACTCCTTTTTGAATTTGAGTATTTATGTACCTTAAAAAATTAGGGAGGGGAATTGGGTCTTTCCTTTTTACTACTTCCCTTTGATCTCTGCAAAAGCAAACTGAAGTTTTGATATTTTATTTATATCGGTGATGATTTTCTGGTGATTTAGTTTGTTAGATTCACACTCAATTTTCCTCAGAAGTCGAATCTGCAACCACGATGTCCATGGGAAACAAGGAGTCTGATCGGGGAAGTTCTTGAGCCAATTTAGGGAAATTGAGATCGGTAGAAGCACCTTTGAGGTCTATAGCTGCTGCATCCTAAGCTCGAGCTGCCATTTCAGTTGTCGGGTATGACTAATTTCTTTCCTTTCTTGCCAATTTTCGACACCCAAAGTTGTTATCTTTCAATTTCCCACATGGCTCTTCTGGTTCCTTGATTCCCTTCACTCCTTTCCCCGTCCCTACTCCTCCACTCTCCTCTTTCTTTATTCTTCTTATTTCTTCATTGAATACATACTGTTTGATGGAGTGACTGATGAAGAGCAACATGCACACCTACTCGGGAAAAAACTCAGAAAATTGCTAGAGACATTTCAAGTGGTGAGTTCTAATCTTTATGTACTTGCATAATAGGAGGAACTTCAATCCCTTTTGTGTGTTTCGTATAATATATATACAAAATAACTTTTGCATTTGTTGTCACCTTTCCAACAATTCATGAATTAATACCTTTTCATCCAATTGGTATTCTGAGTAAATTCACAACCAGTAATGAAAGCGAAGTGATGAGCTTCTTTCTTTTCTTAACTATGTTTTTTTTTCAGATCATGGAATGCTTTTCTCGTGCTGAGATTGTAACCCAATCAATAGGCAAGTGAAACACACAAGTTCTTCATCGCATGTTAGTTTTGATCCATTTCTAAAATTCCTATGCGTGGTACAAGAAAAACATCTCTTTAGCAGCAAAGAAGAAAGAAGAGTGAAGTACTGAACAACAATATGAAAAGTTGGGACATCGAAAACAAGATATTTTTTGTGTATTATAACTATATGGATGTAAATAAGATAATTTTTACGTATGATTTGTTCTCTATAGATCATAGGGATGTGAATAGGTTGTGATATGGATGTAAATAAATTTAACAAAGTTTTAAAACCCGCGCTTTGCTTGGGCTCTTTTGCTCGTTTAAGCTAAAGCGAGGCCTTGGAATGGCAAAAGAATATTTCTCAAGATTGAGCCAATATCCAACAGTATGGGGAAGAACACTCTCAATAGGGGTGATTTTATCCGAGTCTTACATGTTCTATCCTTTGTTATCCGATGTGTAAAAGAGGGATTCTCAATGGTTCAGATCTAACTATGATAGGGCCAAGCTTATAATATGTCTGCAGTACTTGGATAAATGGACCATCCAAAGTAGGTAGTTATCGCTGCGAGCTTAATGGGTGGAGGGAGGCAACATTCCGAGAAACAACGTGTGAACGTTTGTGCACAAGTGTCACAAGAGGAAAAGGTATTGAGGCCAGTAAAAGAATAAGTCAAGCCATTAAGGAAGAGGGGAAGAAAGAAATTCTGGTGGATGAAGAGAGGAGAAGAGAGAAGAGAAACAGATAACAGAGAAGTTGGTTTCTTGCTTGGCAGGTGAGCTTAAGCTCTTACCTTTGCTTAGTTATTGAAGCAGTTTTAACATGTGAAATATAGCATTCATATTAATATTTTTAGTCGCATATTTATAAGAATTGGATTTTCGTATGAATTATATCTACTTGTATTAGAACAGCTTTTGACACCTTAGAAATTGTTATGTCATTAAACTCATCCATATACTATATTAGAAAGCCCAACTTCCTATGGAACAAAAAGGAGAGTCAAATTGGATTAGCCGCAAAAGTGCACGAGTGTCACCCTTTGATCATTTGTGGCAAATATGAAATTATATTCTAATAAACCTATGCGTACTAGATTCCTAGACACACAGGTAATTTCAGTCAAATGGACCTAACAGTTGACGGATTACCTGCCACATATCGCAAAGAAATGTGGTCGTTCAAGCGTTACTCTTAACAGACTCGATCAACTTTGTTGCAACTAACTTCTCGTGAATGCCTGACCAAGCATAAAGAAAGAAATTCAACCGTAGATCATGCCATGGGGAAAGATCCTGACCGTGGTAGTGACTAAATCATCCACTTTCTACGTACCTCACTCGCTGTTGCCACCAAGTTTTTCAGTATATAAACCCCACAAGCACACGTCTTATTTCAACAAGCTAGTCTCCTCTTCTAGAGTTTCCTTAGGTCATCTAATACATAAAAAAATTCCACATTCATCAAATTCGATACTGTGACATATAGTGCAGCAAAATAAGTTTGAGCACTTAATTAAGAGCCAGAAACAATGGCGGGTGGTGGGTTTGGGGCCGCATCAGGAGGCGGAGACTTTGAAGCAAAGATCACGCCTCTTGTCATCATTTCTTGCATAATGGCAGCTAGCGGAGGCCTCATGTTTGGTTATGATGTTGGTATCTCAGGTACATACAATTAACTATTAACGTACGTGTTTTGTAAAAAAATTATTAGATTTCAAGCATAATTCTGTTTAATTTGATATATGGATATATAACGCAGGGGGTGTTACATCCATGCCCCATTTCCAGAAGAAATTCTTCCCGGTTGTGTATAAGAAGACTCAAGAGCCTGGACTTGAGAGCAACTACTGCAAATACGATAATCAAGGCTTACAGTTGTTCACATCTTCATTGTACCTGGCTGCTTTAATGTCAACCTTCGTTGCCTCGTACACAACCAGATCACTAGGCCGAAAGCTAACCATGTTTATTGCCGGGATATTTTTCATAATCGGAACAGTTTTTAATGCTGCAGCTATTAACCTTCTCATGCTTATCATAGGGAGGATCTTGCTTGGTTGTGGAGTTGGTTTTGCTAACCAGGTATACAGTATAAATTTGTAATAATTTTTTTTTTTTTTTTTTTTTCAATAAACCGCCTGCTACTCAATTGCTAATGCTAGCTGGATTTTCCTGTTAAATGTTTTTTAACACAATACGTTTACTAAGAAATATACGTAACTACAGGCGGTACCGCTTTTCCTTTCGGAGATTGCACCCACAAGAATTCGAGGGGCACTTAACATCCTCTTCCAACTCAATATTACCATTGGCATTCTTTTTGCAAACCTTATTAATTACGGAACTAACAAGTAAGCCGGCCCAATCTTGCTAGCTAATTCAAAAGACAATATCAGAAGTTCTGAGCCAACAAATTTTAGCGTAGTAATATGTTCCAAACACTTGAAAGAATATACAACTAAGTAATATCTTGTTTACCATACATGCGCAGACTTACGGGAGGATATGGATGGAGGGTATCGCTGGGTTTGGCTGGGATTCCAGCAGGTTTGCTAACCTTGGGGTCGCTCATTGTGGTAGACACACCTAACAGTTTGATTGAACGAGGCAAGTTGGAGGAAGGAAAAGCAGTTCTTAAAAGGATTCGTGGTGTTGACAATGTGGATCCAGAATTCTTAGAGATCGTTGAGGCAAGTCGGGTGGCTAAAGAAGTGAAGAATCCCTTCCAAAATCTCCTTAAGCGTAGGAACAGGCCACAACTGGTCATTGCAGTTATGATGCAGGTGTTCCAGCAATTCACTGGCATCAACGCAGTCATGTTCTACGCTCCGGTTTTGTTTCAGACCTTGGGTTTTAAGAGTGATGCTTCCCTCTACTCAGCTGTTATTACAGGAGCTGTCAACGTGCTATCAACCGTTGTATCAATCTACTTTGTTGACAAAGCTGGTCGCCGCATGCTCTTATTAGAAGCCGGGGTCCAAATGTTCCTTTCTCAAATGGTGGTTGCAGTAGTGATGGGACTCAAAGTCCAGGATAACACTAACAACCTTACCCAAGGCATGGCAATTCTTGTTGTCATTATGGTTTGCAGTTTTGTTGCCTCCTTTGCATGGTCTTGGGGACCTCTCGGGTGGTTGATTCCTAGTGAGACTTTCCCTCTGGAAGCTCGCTCGGCTGGCCAGAGTGTGGCTGTGTGCATCAACATGCTCTTCACCTTTGTTATAGCACAAGCCTTCCTCTCAATGCTTTGCCATATGAAGTTTGGCATTTTCCTGTTCTTTAGTGCTTGGGTCCTTGTCATGACAATCTTTGCAATGTTCTTAATTCCCGAGACCAAGGGTGTCCCGATCGAAGAGATGATAGAAAGAGTCTGGAAGCAACATTGGTTCTGGAAGAGATTCATGGATGACTTTGAAGATGATCCCAAGGGCAAGGCCCATGTTTGAACTATCTCACCTGGCCACCGGTCTCTTCCTCACAGTTAATTACATTGCATGATTTCCTTGAGTTTGAAGATTAGGTTAATTAATAATTCTTCCTTTACTTCTAGCTAGTTGCCTCACAACGGGAGCTCTCTGAATGCCAAATGCTTTGTTTATGTTTTGAGATGCGCTATTTGCACTTCCTAATAAACTCCTGCTGTACTTCCCTTTTGCGTTCTATTCTTTTGATGTCTTATCCATTTATTAGTTGTGTTTTAACATGGTAGGAGTAATTTCTGATACAATATTCATCCGTTTATAAACATCACCATCTTCTATGGGATGAGTTAATTAATAAATGGTATGTCAAGGCAACAAAAACGAAAAAATTTAAAGCTAGCATTAATAAGATAATCTCTTGGTAATGCTAGGAAGATCAAATTTTGTAAACCAAATAATGTGGATATTGATGATTGGATTATTACTTAAGTGTTGATTAACATGCTTATTTCTTATTAGTGACGCATCATTTGGTTTGCAAATTTAGTTTAAAGTTTTGGTCTCCCTATCATTATCCTAATCACTTGGAGGATGTTGCTCTTTATCACTTCCTACAATGATATATTCTGCCACACAATCATTGGTAGAATCTTTAATTAGTAAAATAGCGTATACAATATGTTTGCAGAAGTAAGTTTTCTTCTATTGATACGAAGACTGTATACAAAGAGGTTCACTTAACAAAGAAGTAATTTAGCCGACATTCTACATATACGAAAGGAACATATCAATTACAAATTTTTTTCCTATAGTAAGCCAAAAACACCAAGGATAATATCGTTGACTTCTCATCCTCAACACTCTCCCTCAAATTAGAGAGTGGATGTTAAGAACTCTCAACTTGTGTACAATAGTTGAGAAAGTTTTCTTTCCCAATGCTTTTGTGAATACCATCTGCAAGTTGGTGTGAAGAGGGAACATATTTTGTGACAACTAAACCATCTTGTATATCTTATCTCGAATAAAATGGCAATATGTCACCCTATGTCTAGTTCGTTCATGAAAATTGGATTAGCAGCAATATGGAGAGCCATTTTGTTGTCACAACATAGTAAGGCCAGTTTTGGATGTAATAAACCCAAATCCCTTAGAAGATATCGAAGCCATGTCAGTTTCACAAGAAGTTCTAGTCATGGTTCTATATTCGGCCTATGCTAGTGACAATTACACTGTCTTTTGTCTCTTTGATCTCCAAGAAATCAACAAAAAGCCCAAAAAAATCCAATACCCTGTAGTTGACCTTTGTGTTGTAGGGCACCCACCCAATCCAAATGACAATATGGACTCAAGGTCAAGTTATCTTAAGAAGAGAAAAACAACAAACCTTGTACATGTTTTCAAATTCGAAGGACTTCCATGTATGGTCTACAAGGCTCATGCATATATCTACTTAACACATGTACTAAGTAATTTATATTTGACCTAGTGATCGTCAAAAAGATCAATTGCCCCACAAATCTTCTATACTTAGTTGAATCTTTTAAGTAACTCACCACTATTAAAATGCTTAAGATTTTGCTCCATGAAAAACTCCACTGGGCGAGCTCTTAAGAGACCTTCAACCTCTACAGCAGAACCCTCATATAGCATTTCCAGCCCTACATCCTTTGCAGACCGCTTCTGCACTAGTCACTCTAAGCCCAAGAAATTTACCAATTAAACTGTTTGTTATCTGTTGTCTCATGCTCTTAATGCCACCGTTTTTTACCCTTTATAATCGACATGTTTTACTCAGGCATCTTGTATCCTTGAATGGCACACTGCAATGACGAAAGAGTTTAATGCTTTACTAAAAATGGTACATGGTCTCTTGTTCCATCTCATCCCACTCAGAAGTTAGTTGGTTATAAATCGGTTTTTAGGATTAAGCATCATGCGGATGGATATATTGAAAGTATAAAGCCTGCTTGGTTGCTAATGGTTCTCATCAACAACATGGTTTCGTTATGATGAGACTTTCAGTCTAATGTTTAAGCCAACTACCATTCATCTTGCTCTCCATAAGCCATCACTCATGGATGGTCGATCCATTCGCTAACTAAATGTCAAAAATGTCTTTCTTCATGGGTATTTACAAGAAGATGTTTCAGTGGCTTAAGCCCCGGGATTTTTTTATCCTCAACATCCTTATCATGTGTGTAAGTTACATAACGCGTTATATGACCTCACACAGGCTCCTCGTGCATAGTTTCAGCGCTTCAGCAACTTATTCTTCGTCAAGGCTTTGTGCAGAGCCTAGCCGACCTCTTTCTATTCACTTTTCATTACTATCTGGTTCATCTCATCATTTTGCTTTATGTGGATGATAATGTATTAACTAGGAATGGTTCTTGGAAATTAAACATCTTGGTCTTCTTCACTATTTTCTGGGTTTTGAGGTTTATCCCACTTCTGCTGGTATACATATGTCTCAGACTAAATATGCTCTTGAATTATTTAAGCAAACCAATATGCTTCACTGCAAACCTTTTAATGGTTTTATTGCTTCATGTGCTCAATTGTCTAATAAGGATAATACTCTGTTTTCCGACCTGTTTGATTTTTGTCACTTATTGGGCTTCTTGCAGTATCTTACTTTGACTCTTTTGAACATTACTTATGCGGTTAATCATATTTCTCAATTCATGTATTGCCCTACTCACATGCAACTTATTGCAGCTACGTTATATTAAGGGCTCTCTTGAACATGGCATTTCATTTAGGCGTTCTTCTATGCCTCCTTTGCTTCATGGGTATTCTAATGCTGATTAAGCTGGTTGCCTGGATACACTCGCCGCTTTACTTCGGGTTTCTTATTATTTCATAGCCAGATTTAATATCGTAGAGCTCCACCAAGCATCTCATTGTTTTCTGGTCTAGTGCTCAGTTGGAATATTGTGTCTTGGCTCATGCTTGCACCAAATCTATTTGGCTCACCTATGTGCTTCGTGAACTTCGGTTTATGGTGCCTCACCCCACTTTATTGTTTTTGTGATAAGTTGAGCACAACATACATGGTTGCTAGATATTTCATGCTCAGACATGGCATATTGAGCTTGATTATCACTTTGTCCATAAACGGGTCAAACTTGGAATCATGGGCTCTCCAAGCCGCATTACTTCTCCATTCCAAACTTGTCTTTCCACAACCAAGTTTAGGGAGGGCTATTTGTATATGAGAATCCAGTTAGGATTCTATTGAGTTAGGTCTTGTAAATTCTTGTGAACTTAGAATTACTTGTACTATTAGAATAAACATAAAACCAAGATCAAGCAATACGAATTACTGTAATCAAAACACAAAATCGTAATTCATCAATCAAAGCACAGAGAAGAACCATACATGCAGATAAACTCGAACTAGAAGCCATGCCTGATTTCTGCAAGAATTCTGCAATGCACCTCTCCTCTCTTCAATGGTCAAGGTTCTCAACTAATAATAGGTCTTAGTTTTGAGTAGAGCACACACACTACGAGAGCAGAGGCCACCATATATATACTACATAATCCTAGCCAAATTCTATAAGGATTTCCCTATTAAAATCCATATAGAAAACCAATTCCTTCTAAATAGCAGTTCAATTACAATATGGATTCACAAATCCATTCTCAACAAGACTTCCTATTCAATCTCTAATCCAATAACCAAGTTCATAGGTTCATACTTATGTTCATATTCTTACACACTCCTACTTGAGCAAGTATAAACCAAGAAAACTAGTTCGATTAAGATTATAATAGGGTGATCACTAAGCCTTTTGAACAAAATCATAAACAATCTATATGTGCATTTCAAAACAAATAATCTAAAAGCTTACAATCACAACCAACATGTAACTAATGTTTCCAGATTACTTGTGTTCAATCTGCACTTTATAACATTATGATCAAACTGATATTAGCGGATCTAAATGTCCACTCCCACTATTTCTCAACTCAGTTCAAACAATCAAGTTCATCACAGACATTAAAAATGTCTTCTTGTAATTCACATGAATTCAAACAAATGCTCGAGTCAAATCACAAAGATTCATAAAGTATCAAATTGAATTCACAATCACATATATATATATATATATATATATATCAGATCAATCAATTACAAAATCCAGTCTCTGAATATAATAAACTAGCTCACAAACATACTAACTGTCAATAAAACTAGCTAACCATAAAACTTAATTCAAGAGAAGAACTTCAATGCTACACCAGCTCTTCGAACTTCACAATAGCAGCATTTCTCAACTTTATTATTGCAACTATCTCTAATGAACAAACTCTACTCCCACTCATCAAAAGACTCAAGCACACCCATTCTAGAGACTTGTATCTTGAATATGTCAACAGGTAAAGCTTTGGTCAAAGGATCAGCAACCATCAAACTTGTACTAATATGTTGCACATCAATGGTTCCTTGCTTGACTTTTTCCCTTACTTTCAGAAATTTAACATCCATTAACCTTGAAGCAGAAGTTCTCTTGTTCTTTGCAAAGAAAACTACAGAATTATTATCACAATACATTCTTAAAGGCTTATATATTGATTTCATAATCCTCAATTCTACCACAAAATTCCTTAACCAAATCCCTGCTTCATGCCTTCAAAACATGCCACGAATTATGCCTCCATGGTAGAAGTTGCAATGACAGTTTGCTTGGCACTCTTCCAAGACACTACACCCCCAAGGAGAAAAATGTATGCACCAGTTGATTTTCTGTCATCTAAATCACCTATCAAGTCAGAATCAGTGTATCCTTTTAATTCAAGTTCTTTTTTGTACCATACATAAGCATATAGCCCTTGGTCTATTGCAAATACCTTAGAACTTTATTGGCAGCACTCCAATGAGCTTCCCCTGCATTAGATTGAAATCTACCCAAAATTCCTACTATGTATGCAACATCAGGCCTTGTACAAACATTTGCATAAACTAAGCTTCCAACTAGTGATGCATATGGCTTCTCAAACATCTTCTTGACTTCAAAATCAGTTCTAGGGCATTGTTCTTTTGACAGCTGATCCTCTTTGTTTACTAGTACATAATAGCCATTACAGTTTTCCAGAACCTGGTCAAGATTCTTTCAATATAACCTTTCTGAGAGAGTCCCAACAACTTTCTTTTTCTGTCTCTAACAATCTTGATCCCTAAAACAAAATATGCCTCACCAAGATCCTTCATTTCAAAAT